TTGTTAAACTTTTAAACTTTATTAAACTATAAAACATCAACACCAGAGAATAACTCATTTTAAAACACTTTTTGTTAAACTTTTAAACTTATTAAACTATAAACCATCAACACCAGAGAATAACTCATTTTAAAACACTTTTTGTTAAACTTTTAAACTTTATTAAACTATAAAACATCAGCACCAGAGAATAACTGGTCTCAATTACCCACTGAAACAGATTTCCATTGGGCGTACATGGTTACTTAGCGGTTAGAATGATATGAACTGATCACTGAAAACCAGATGACACGGGTTGTTCACCAGAAGGGTAAGCATACCCTGCCCTACCGGTCGCACCCACCGCTCACACAATACAAGAAAACATCGTGACGCAAAACGTTATTTCATCCCAGCCATGCAGATGTTTCCGGTTAAAAGATGAAAACACCACGGAGTTTGTACGGTAACGCCCCTTGACCGGAAATTCAGTAGATATTTCTAACCTAACGCCAGGGAAATACATTTCACACATACATTTCTCCTGAATTTTAGGGTTTTAATTCAAACAGTAACAAAATACGTTGTATACATTGTATGTTTTGTAATATTTTTCGTGCTAAAATGTTCAAAAAGATTTAAGTGGTTTGTTTTTGTGACAAAAGTCCCAACTACCTGTTGTTACAACACATACACGTGTATGTGGCAATACTCTGTTATACTCACACATATACATGTATGTGGCAACTGTTATAACAACACATAAACATGTATGTGGCAACTGTTATAACAACACATATACATGTATGTGGCAACTGTTATAACAACATATATGTGGCAACTTTTATAACAACACATAAACATGTATGTGGCAACTGTTATAACAACACATAAACATGTATGTGGCAACTGTTATAACAACACATAAACATGTATGTGGCAACTGTTATAACAACACATATACATGTATGTGGCAACTGTTATAACAACATATATGTGGCAACTTTTATAACAACACATAAACATGTATGTGGCAACTGTTATAACAACACATAAACATGTATGTTGCAACTGTTATAACAACACATAAACATGTATGTGGCAACTGTTATAACAACATATATGTGACAACTGTTATAACAACACATAAACATGTATGTTGCAACTGTGATAACACCATATATATGTATGGGGCAACTGTTATAATACATAAACATGTATGTGGCATCTGTTATAACAACACATATACATGTATGTGGCAACTGTTATAACAACACAAACCATGGCAACTGTTATAACAACATATATACATGTATGTGGCATCTGTTATAACAACATATATGTGGCAACTGTTATAACAACACATAAACATGTATGTGGCAACTGTTATAACACCATATACATGTTTGGGGCAATTGTTATAACAACACATAAACATGTATGTGGCATCTGTTATAACACCATATACATGTTTGGATCAACTGTGATATCAACATATATATGTGTATGTGTCAACTGTTATAACAAAATATATCATGGCAACTGTTATAACAACATATACCATGGCAACTGTTATAACAACACATATACATGTATGTGGCAAATGTTATAACAACACATAAACATGTATGTGGCAACTGTTATAACACCATATACATGTTTGGAGCAACTGTGATATCAACATATATATGTATATGTGTCAACTGTTATAACAACATATCATGCATGTATGGGGCAACTGTTATAACACACATACATGTATGTGGCAACTGCTACTACAACATATGTTTTATTCCGACTGGTATCACAAAAAGCCGTGAAATTTGCAAAAAAGGAATTGATGCCTTAAATTTAAGTAACATTCTCAGACAAAGTGTTCCATAATTTTATGGATGCCGTCGAAGCATGTGCAAAAAATGGGCCCAAATGGGTTAAGTCAGTGCGAGATGTGGTCATTGGTAAAATGCACAAACTGGAAAAGAGGAAACAGAAGGGGAATAAACCCATTTTGCCCTAGCCAGCTGTCACCCAAAGTCTGGCAAACCTTATATAAAAAAGTATGTAGCTTTTCTCACTGACAAGGCCTCAAATAACCTAACTTTTATATGTAAGCATCACTACGTTAATTGTTTGATCAAAGAACTTGGTACAAGTGACATATCAAAAAATGCCGCGCATAAGGCCAGTATGTTAAGTGAGGAAAACATCTGCCAAAACCATAAATCAGTACTGTCAACTTTTGAATTGACTCATGCTTCATTCCTTGATCCATGGAACTTTGGTTACAAAACGTGTTGATTATAGATACCTATCTTCAGAAGTTCAGGGCACTTTGTAAAAGATGAAAGAAAATGCCATCAGAAGGTTAAGGGCCTGTCACACCTAGCCGATTTGGAGCTATACCAGAGGACAAATTTGGCGATTTGGGGGATCGGTACAACGGCAGTACAACGGCAATACTCAGGGTATCGCTTCGTTAATGTCGGTAGAGCACAGGAAGCGCCCCGTAATGGATCGGCGGTGGCCTCAATGTGTACTGTACTGGTACCGATGTCATACCGTAGTACAACCGTATATCACCTTAGGTGACAGAAAAGTGGTATTCGGTAGCACATCGGCTCTTACATCGGTAGGACAAAGGTATCACAACGGGAACGCCGGTACTACATCGGTATTGGTATGGTCAATTTTTATTTTTCAAGTGCTTGCTCGTCGGAGCTCCGCCGATTTTCTCGCCGTTGTTAATATTTTGCTCCGGTTTAGTCCCGGCGAGGTACATTGGTAGTGTGGCAGGCCCTTTACCGAGAAAACAATATGCGAAACACTGGACTTCCTCATTGATGTTTTGGGTGAATAAGACATTCAGGCAAGAAGATGGCATCCCCATGGCCCTTCTTGCGGATCTGTTTCTTTATGCATATGGATCGGAATTTCTGCTCGGATTTGAAAAAGTAAAAAAACAAAGTAATTTGGCCAAGAAGTTACACGTAAGCTTCACGTGTATCGATGATGTGAAATCGTTTAATGGCCAACAAATAGTGAGTGTGAGTGAGTTTATATTTAAAGTCATATCGGCAATATTTCAGCCATATCGTGACTTGAACAAGTTATATCCAACAAATAGCCAATGCCCTCTACAGATTTACCCACCTGAACTAGAAATATAGGAGGCCAGTGAGACAACCTCATCTGTTTCATATTTAGATCTATGCATAAAGATTCAGAATGACAAAACACTCTCCACAAGGCTGTATGACAAGATGGATGACTTCAACCTTCCCGTAGTCAGCTTTACCTTCATGTCGAGCAATGTTCTAGCATCTCCAGCACTTAGTGTCTACATTTCACAACTTTTGAGATGCTATCAAGCATGCTCTTTTTACCAATATTTCAAAGAGACGCTTGCTCAGAAATTGTTTCATCAAGATTACCTTATTCTTCTTCAAGGCCTCAGTTAAGCTTTCAAAGCGTTTTATGGTAGACATGTGGAGGAAATTTTCAAATTTGACGCATCAGTGACAAAAATGATGTCCTATGCATTTCCCTATTTTGACTTGGACCATATGTTCCCGTGTTTTTATAGTGAACAATTGAATTGCCTTTGCATGTGTCTGTGATGGGTGCCACCAGGGGGCAGGATACGCTCACTTTTTCGCGAACATAAACACATGCTCGTGAAATAGTCGGAATCGTACAATGGACTCTGCTTTTGGCAGAGATTTGTTATGAATATGGAAACGGTTTGTCTCCTAGGGAGCCCCGTCGGAACTGCATGAAGAGTATGCCTCGTTGTAACATTTATTGTGAAAATGTAATTTAGGGGAGTATGTTATTTAAATATATGTAATATCCACGAATTTTATCTTGATGTTATTTATTCCAAAGCAGCTGCAGAACTACAGCATACGCCGGTTAGCCGGAGAATGTGTAGCCTGTGCCCACACCACAATACATTTATCTCCGGACGCTATTCAAATGCCCCCAAATAACATATTACTAACATGGATATCAAACCATTACGATGACGTCCCGCTATTATTATTGCAGTTGATTCTGATCCAGTACAACGCTGCCATAGGTCATTATGCAAACTTACAGAGACATTATAATATATATCAACCATAACATGGTTTAAGTCAGTGAAATCGCTCGAATCGGCTGATTCAGGAAGTTGGATCATTTGATTCTACTTCCGGTTCCAACTTATTCTCATGATACTTCTATTACATAATTGACTTGGTGAATGTGCCTAACGCTATCTGCCTCCTAGTGGTGTATCGGCATACATGGTCTTTATCACGTCCACACATCCGTTAGCAGCTATTTCCGCGGCATTGCTATATCGAGGCTGACATCATTACGTTAATTAATATCTTTACAAAATTATCACATTCATAGGTCTACTGTGGGAATGTGAAACTAAGCAACGGCCTGCTGTGAGCTGTGACATGTGGGCTACATTGAATTGATATTTAGATAATTACCACCGAGAAACTTCACCGAGGTTAAAAAAAATACATAAAAAGACAAAGCGGCAACTTTTTGATGACATCATGAACAAGTGATGACGTCATATTGCTTCAACTAACAAGTCAGCATTGTTAAATGCACATGTGCACATATCGAACAGTTATTAACTCTTAATGTTAACATTTATGGGCAATATTGGAAGTGTGTGTGTGTGTGTTTGGTGTGTGTTTGTGTGTGCGTGTGTGTTTGGTGTTTGTCTGTGTGCGTGTGTCTTTGTGTGTGTATGTGCGTGTGTGTGGTGTTGGTGAGTAGGGATGGGTGATGTTTGTGTGTTGGATGTGGATGTTAATGTCAGGTGGGTGTTGATGTTATGTGGTTGTGTAGGTAGGTAGGGTTGGCTGATGTGTGTGTTCTAGCGTCTGTGCGTGTTCGAATGTTTGATGTGGTTGGTGCGTTGGATGTCTTGAATGCATTCAAAATTAATACATCATTATAGGTTCTTTAAATGTTCTATTCAGTCAATGAATAATGAATCAAGTTGTCTTTTTCAGCCATCTACCAGAACGCCTAGGCGGTAACACCACAATGGCTGACCAACTCCACAGGATAAACACTGACAGTGTGAGAATTTTCAGGGTGGACCATAGCGCGGGAGACGCCCTGGATATATGTGCGGAGAGTTGTGTGCACACGGCACGCTGGAACGATAACTTTGAACTTTCTGTGGCAGCCACCCTGCTGTAAAATGTCCTTGAAGTCAACAGACACATTACAGCCGGTGAAAGTGAACCCGTTGCCGGACTGCACGGGATAGTGATATCATCAATTTGTGTAATCTATGTGCAAAGGAGGATTCAACGCCAAACTTGGATGTTGCACAGAACCAGGATTCGACTGATGCGCCGTGGTGCATTGCGTAATGACAGCCAGGAAGACGATGCGATTATTTCGGAAGCCTCAACGGACGGTGTTGTTTACTTTGTTTATTCTGTTTACTGTGACTCAACGGCTGTGTGGACAAACGACATGCACGAGTCTTTCAGGATGTAGGACAAGCCTACGGTAGTCATATGACTAAGACTTGAATCCAAATACTCGCCTGTGTGGATATTATCATATTACAGTCTCATCCACATTTCGTTCTTGCTGAAGATATATAGACCCCTTTTAATGTCTCAAGATGACTGTTCACATTTTTCTTGCGATACAAGAAGAAATTTCAGTACCTACCATTTTCACGTCAACGATTTGAATCAAGCGTTCTTGCGGAGTTGTCTCCGCTTGGATCAAGGCTGAAAGGGTTATTCTTTTTCCCCTCTCGAACACGAGTTTCCTAGGGCGGTTAAAGGGGATAACGAGAGCAAAGGAGATGGTTAGATATATAAGATACGGAGATAGTTTTTTATCTGTTTTGATATTTTATTGGTTTTTTTTTGTTTGTGCTGAAATATCGCTTTAAAGCTGGCTGTCAATCATTTTTCCACTTTATATTTGTGTTTGTATATATTGGCAAATACCATTCACTATAAACAAACTCTATCGAGTGCTATAACGGTAATGAAAACTACATGAGCAAACCATATGTCAAGTAATATTCACATCATATTTACCTGTATGTCAAACGACCAGAACGTTCCATAACATTTAAATTCCACCACCCTTCAATTCCGTTAGGAATCCGACTATAACAAAGTATCAAATGTAAGAAAACAGAATTGTTTCTTTTAAAGAATGTATACCACTGTCAGGTACCTACGTTATTTACGGCACAAACTGTACCTAATCCATCTTATATTACCCATAACGGTAGAATGGTCGTGTGTAAAAACGTTCCAATATTTGCACATGTGCATTTTAGAGATTATCAATGGTGATTGGTCAATTGAAGCCATAACACGTCACAATGATCATTGTTCGAAATTCGATATCCAGGTTTTATGACGTCAATAATTGAATACTTTACGTCATCTGAACAATAGGCTGCCTTCAATGAAGTTTCTCTGCAGGGTTGACATTTCATTTATGTTTCCTCATTTTTTCTCTTGAAATGCCAATGAGTAATATATAGATCATCCACCATAGCTGTAACATGCAACTGTTTGTATAAAATAAGTTGGCAACACGTTCACATGGGATTTTACAACCAGGTATCTACATCCCAAGCTGTGAGATCGTGCACTGCACGCACTGACGAACAAACCCGTGATGAAATGTTAACTTATTAACATGTATATCATAATATTCCATTTTTTAGAATTTATGCTATATGTATATTTAAAGCGTTATTTGTTTGTTTACCTTACTTTTATATATAATCAGATATGTTTATACTGAACGTGTTACAACAAAACCAGTGTTTTGGCAAAACTCTTTGTTTGGTCAAATTGTTTCAAGTGATATATGGCGTGAAGGTCAAATGTTCCAGCCATGCATACATGCATTCCACAAGAAGACATTCCTCACATCCCTTTGGAAGCCATCTCCAGATGTAATCAATGTATATCATTAAATATATTTGCATATAAATATTTTCTCAGAAGTGAAGTTTTATTTTATATTCATATGAATCAAGTGACAGGTGACTGTTTGAAGGTGCTTCACAAATACTGCACACGTATGGCAGGTGGTATAGGCTCTATGTGAACACTCTTTATACCAGAGTAAGGGTCGGTGGGGTAGCCTAGTGGTTCGCTCGTCACGCCGAAGACCCGGGTTCGATTCCCCAGAATGTGTACAACGTGTGAAGCCCATTTTTGGTGTGATATTTCTGAAATATTGCTAAAAGCGGCGTAAAACCATACTCACTCATTCATTTTACCTGAGTAATTATAACACCCTTGATCGTAGACGTAGCCTTGTGGTTATAGCGTTCGCCCTTCAGGGTTCTATTCTGCAAATGGGTACAATGCGTGAAGCCCTTTTGTGGTGTCCACGGCCATGCTGGAATCTTGCAAAAGCGGCGTAGATCCATACTCACTCATTCACTATACCTCAGTAACACCCTTGATCGTAGACGTAGCCTTGTGGTTAAAGCGTTCGCCCTTCAGGGTTCTATTCTGCAAATGGGTACAATGCGTGAAGCCCTTTTGTGGTGTCCACAGCCATGCTGGAATCTTGCAAAAGCGGCGTAGATCCATACTCACTCATTCACTATACCTCAGTAACACCCTTGATCGTAGACGTAGCCTTGTGGTTAAAGCGTTCGCCCTCCAGGGTTCTATTCTGCAAATGGGTACAATGCGTGAAGCCCTTTTGTGGTGTCCACGGCCATGCTGGAATCTTGCAAAAGCGGCGCAAAACCATATTCATTTTCTCACCAATTCTCGATAACCAGGGCTATTGCATAACATGGGCGTGCATTGGACACAGTAACTCTTGTTTAAAGATGACTCTCATAACCTCGAAGAGTGTTTGGTTCACCAGGATCTGGTATCATTTTACGAGGAATCAAACCCGGATGCACTGGGAAAGCCTGACACGGTGGGTTTTGAAATGAAGTTTATCGTTTACATGTCAGTGATTTTGTGAGTCATACACTCAAAACAGAAAACAAACAGCTGTGTTTTGTTATCGTAAAGGAATATTGGTTTTATATTGTGTTTGACACGGTGTTTTGATGCTGATAAACGACCTATTGAAGTCCACTTGTGTATAAATAAACGAAGACTAGTGCTTCAAAAAAACATTATCAGCCACTTTCTCCGTAGTTATTTGTGGTAAGGGGGTCATTACAACTGGGAGTAGCTGATTCCGGTGTTTAGGAGATCTAAAGACCTCGGTTAATACAGAACTGAGTGTGGGACGTTAACCAAACTCACACAGGAAACATCGTTACACCAAAATATTCGATACATGTATAAATAACTAAGACACAAAGGCTACTTGAAAGGAGTGTATGAATTTAGAATGAGTTTACAGAACACACACATATACACACATTAGGACTCGAGAGGTGATGCTATTTTACTATATGATATCACCCTATTCGACACACACACGTGACAGAGAGAGAGAGAGAGAGAGAGAGAGAGAGAGAGAGAGAGAGAGAGAGAGAGAGAGAGAGAGAGAGAGAGATGGTGATGCAGTTGATAGGGTATCATAGCCATGTTTTGGACCTTAGGTTTGCAGTGTTTTGAAGTGTTTAGTTGAAGACGTCGCCATGGTCTCATCGAAACACGTGGGCCTGGTTGCCCAGCATGCGCTATTGACAACGTTTTTTGTGCCCCAACTATGTTTTAGGTCGCATTCAGCATTTCTAACCATTTAAGGTTATAGATACGCATACGTTCTTCATAACGAGTATAATTAAAAACTTGTCCACTCCACGAATTTGTTTTTCATAAATAGTAATAACAAACCGCGCTGATCGTGATTATTTATGATTATACAACTTTTACTTTACAAAAAAAAAAATCCCCCCAAAATCAGGAAGTGTGATATTTGTTATATCTCATATCGAGGACCAATGGGTGCTGTGTTTAGTGTTGTCCAATCACAGCCTTCGTGACATCGAACATCCTCAGTATACTCGAATGTAGACAAGAGCCCAGTCAAGTTGTAATGTCGCCGATAATGTCATTGGACTCCGCTCACTTACTCATTGTGACAATGCCTCATCAACATTGGCTGTAAACATCCTCTTTCACGTGTAGCTTACATACCGTAACCCCTGATCAAAGCCCCTTATAATGACTACGGATCCTGTTGAAACAATTTATTTAGTACACGTAATTGTTTAACTTCAACAAGCTGCAATGTAACAATACTCTCTCCTTATTGGAACTGCTCTCGTTCTGTGACATAGCACTTCCTGCTTCCGGTGTGGCAAGCCCTACATTTTAGCCGGCGATGTTCGGGGTACAATCTGCTCATAAAGGCAATGTGCGGAGTACAATCTGCTCATACACTCGCTGCGCGGAGTACAATCAGTTCATGCAGGCGCTGCGCGGAGTAGAATCTGTTCATACAGGCGCTGCGCGGAGTAGAATCTGCTCATACACTCTCTGCGCGGAGTACAATCTGTTCAAACAGGTGCTGCGCGGAGTAGAATCTGCTCATAGAGCTCTTGTGCGGAGTAGAATCTGCTCATACACTCTCTGCGCGGAGTACAATCTGTTCATACAGGCGCTGCGCAGAGTACAATCAGTTCATACAGGCGCTGCGCGTAGTAGAGTCTGCTCATACTCTCGCTGCGCGGAGTAGAATCAGTTCATACAGGTCCTGTGAGGAGTACAATCTGCTCATACACTCTCTGCGCGGAGTACAATCTGTTCATACAGGCGCTGCGCAGAGTAGAATCTGTCCATACACTCGCTGCGCGGAGTACAATCAGTTCATACAGGCCCTGTGCGGAGTAGAATCTGCTCATACACTCTCTGCGCGGAGTACAATCTGTTCATACAGGCGCTGCGTGTAGTAGAATCTGCTCATACACTCACTGCGCGGAGTACAATCAGTTCATACAGGCCCTGTGCGGAGTACAATCAGTTCATACAGGCCCTGTGCGGAGTACAATCTGCTCATACCGGCCCTGAGCGGAGTACAATCTGCTCATACTGTGCGGGGTACAATCTGCTCATACTGGCCCTGTGCGGAGTACAATCAGTTCATACAGGCGCTGTGCTGAGTAGAATCTGCTCATACACTCGCTGCGCGGAGTACAATCTGTTCATACAGGCGCTGCGCACAACGAGGCGGTCGCGATCGGGTAGCCTAGTGGTTAAAGCGTTCGCTCGTCACGCCGAAGACCCGGGTTCGATTCCCGACATGGGTACAATGTGTGAAGCCCATTTATGGTGTCCCCCGCCGTGATATTGCAGGAATATTGCTAAAAGCCAAAAACCCAACTCACTCACTCACTCACCCCATCAGCACATGCTACAATGTACCGCACATCACAAGTACCTACATACTGTCTACATATGCTACCGTGTGGGGATTCCGGGGTAGAATTGGTCCCCAGCAACCTATACTGGTCGTATGCGGCGTCCTAATTGATCGGATGGTCGAATTCGATGACCTGGTTGATAGGGTGTCATCGTACCCCGGCGTTGATCGTTGCTGTCATATCAATCACTGGATTGTCTGATCCAGGCTCCATTATTATAAACTGCAGATAGTTACGTAGGTCTCTCTACCTCACCATTTGCCTCAGAATGGAGTACTTTATTCCCTTGATAACCGCTGGTGATTTTAGAAAACGACCCCTCCTTTAGGCGTTTCGTACGCCACACGGTAAAGCATTTACACCTTACGTGATCAGTAATAGGTTAAAAGACATAACTTTAAGTTGGGTATATGTTTCTTGCACATCAATACAACTGAGGGTGGGCGGAAGGTTGTTATGCTGGTGTTCCTTCCAGTGCAAGATGACCTGTTCGGGTGTCGCGTCTTGATTAGCGACAGAGAGGATATTTTATGGACGCTTCATTTCTAGAGCGATGTAATATGTGCCTTCGATGATTTAGCTTACTGCATATAGAGTGATGTAATAAGTGTCTTCGATGATTTAGCATACTGCATATAGTGTGATGTTAAAAGTGCCTTCAATGATTTAGCTTACTGCATATAGAGCGATGTAATAAGTGCCTTCGATGATTTAGCTTACTGCATATAGAGTGATGTAATAAGTGTCTTCGATGATTTAGCATACTGCATATAGAGTGATGTAATAAGTGTCTTCGATGATTTAGCATACTGCATATAGAGTGATGTAATATGTGCCTTCGATGATTTAGCATACTGCATATAGAGTGATGTAATAAGTGCCTTCGATGATTTAACATACTGCATATAGAGTGATGTAATAAATGCCTTCAATGATTTAGCATACTGCATAAAGAGTGATGTAATATGTGTCTTCGATGATTTAGCATACTGCATATAGAGTGATGTAATATGTGCCTTCAATGATTTAGCATACTGCATATAGAGCGATGTAATAAGTGTCTTCGATGATTTAGCTTACTGCATATAGAGTGATGTAATAAGTGCCTTCGATGATTTAGCTTACTGCATATAGAGTGATGTAATAAGTGCCTTCGATGATTTAGCATACTGCATATAGAGTGATGTAATAAGTGTCTTCGATGATTTAGCATACTGCATATAGAGTGATGTAATATGTGCCTTCGATGATTTAGCATACTGCATATAGAGTGATGTAATATGTGCCTTCGATGATTTAGCTTACTGCATATAGTGTGATGTTAAAAGTGCCTTCGATGATTTAGCTTACTGCATATAGAGCGATGTAATAAGTGTCTTCGATGATTTAGCTTACTGCATATAGTGTGATGTTAAAAGTGCCTTCGATGATTTAGCTTACTGCATATAGAGTGATGTAATAAGTGCCTTCGATGATTGAGCATACTGCATATAGTGTGATGTTAAAAGTGCCTTCGATGATTTAGCTTACTGCATATAGAGTGATGTAATATGTGCCTTCGATGATTTAGCATACTGCATATAGTGTGATGTTAAAAGTGCCTTCGATGATTTAGCTTACTGCATATAGAGCGATGTAATATGTGCCTTCGA